TACCCATTGACATTTAATGACAGATTTTTTGAGGTTAAGGTTTTTTTATGGTGTAAAATCGGTATTCCTGTTGAATTCACTTTTTATTCCTTAATATACAGGGTGATCAAACTTCGCAGATAGTTTCCTAGGATGAAAAGCTGTCTTGCTTCCGTAAAAAGTTCTGTGCCTAATTTTTCTTAATTTCGTTTTAACTAATACTAAAAATTTTTTAAAGAAAACAAGTTATTTATACCATAAAGGAGGTATTATTTACTAGTAGGACGATTTTGCGCGAGAAGTCGAAAGTGCACTACGGACGAGCATATAGAAGTTTCAAAGAATGGTACCAGAACAAAAATACTGGTGTTTCTGAAATGTCACTGCTAGCATATTTCATGGAAAAGTCAAGAATTTCACGCTTTTTTATGCGCTGTGAAGTAGGTAGATGTTACACCCAACCAGTCGGCAAGAATGCCCTTTCTATGATTCCTAATAAGACTGCACAGTTTTTGAAACTAGAACATCCTGAAATGTATACAGGCCACTCATTTCGAAGAACATCGGCAACGTTGCTGGCTAATACAGGAGTCGATGTATTAGCAATCAAGAGACATGGTGGGTGGAAATCAGCCACAACTGTAGAAAGTTATGTTGCTGACAGTTTAAGTAACAAAAATGAAACAGCCAACAGGATTCTTTTCAATGACACTTCAACTACAGATTCTAATAATACGTCGCATCATGCTGTTTCAATGCATCAGTCAGATAATACTGAGCCTCCGGTGACTGAAATGGAGCAGTCAAATCATTTTGAGAAAAATGTGACAATTAGTAAAGGCGAGGAAAATATTTATCCAGATGTATCTAAATGTAATAACTGTACAATTACTATAAATATTCATTCATAATAATTAATAATATTTCAACAAGAATACCTTCTTTATGTAAGATAAACTTTTACGTTATAATAAACGATATTCTCCGTAAAAAAACACAACCTTAAAGAAGTTAGAAATATGAATATGAACATTTTGTAAAGTCGTAGCTAACACTTACTGCAGATGGTCAAAAATTAATAACACTGACATATTTAACACCCTTAAAAACTTACCTGTGCCAAATCTTAATGCATCACATTGTTTTATGAAAAACATATGGTTAAACTTTGTTTGATTTAAAAAAATATTATTTGACACTCTGTATCTCAAAAACAGATGAAGGATTCGCACATATAGAAAACCCGTCTTATTTTTTTATGTTCCATCAGCCCGTAAATTTATGGTACCTTTCCCCAAAACATCCTGTAGGTGTAGCAGAAATGGTTACCTAATATTAAAAACATCTATTATTATTTACAAATTTCATAAACAAAATTCTTTGATCTTAATGAACCAAATATATAGCATTAATAACAAATGGTAGGTGCAATTAAACTCATAGACCGGTTTTATCTAATGATAAATCTGTTTACTAATATTCTACGGCGGAACAGGTAACAGTTATGCGGCGAATTGCTGAAGTGAAGTGAAGTGAAATACTTTGGCGGTCGTTCAACGTCAAGCTGATATTTTAACAACAAACTGAAACCTTATCTTTTTTATCAAATTCGCCATGTTAAAAAAGTGCTAGAGAAAAAGGAATGGAAGAGTTTATGAGTAAAGATCCCAGCAACCAAAGAATGAAACGTCCTTACACAATGTATGAAACCAACAAGTTCTAACGGAAATTAGTTTGTTTTGTTCTAAAATATGTTAATAGAAATTTCTTAGTCCTTAGTTCAAGCAAGGTCATGGTCATAAGGAACAAATTTGTTCTAATAAGACAAATTTTTCCATACAGTGTGTCCCCCGATGGGGTACCGCACTCTTGTAAACTTTTTCATTGTTGATATCTCGAGGAAAAGTTAGTCTTGAAAAGTTTTGCTTAGCTTGGGAAGCCATGAACAGTAATCAAATTTGTAATAAAACATACAGGACTTCCAAAAAATTTCAAAATGTGAAAAGTGCCTTTATTTATTTATTTATTTATTTATTTATTTATTTATAAAGGCTAGTGTTACATACACATAAAAGTGTTTACACGCGTCCAAAAAGAAAAAAAAAGTGGTAAATTACAATACACATAATGATAGCAATTAATTAACTGTTATACAAATATACATAAACAACATATAATTAAAATAAATAGGACAAACGACACACTAAGATAAATGATAACATTCATATTCGAGTTACATTACTGTCAATAAAATCATCAAAACAATAAAAAGCATTTTTTATAGTATTTTTTATCCTTGATTAATTATTGTCATTAAGAATTTGAATTTGGTGTGGTATTATGTTAAAAAATTTGATGGCGCAATAATTAGTACGGACCCGCGTTTTACTAAGTCTTACAAATTTATTACATAAGTATGTGCTCTTTCGGGTATTATAAGAGTGAGTCTCACTTCTGATTTCAAAGTTATGTATATGTTTTTTGACATAAATAAGGCACTGAAGTATATATGCACAGGGTACAGTTAGTATGGACAAATTGGAAAACTGCTCTCTACAATCATCTCTAAAACCAAAGTCAGATATGATTCTAATCATTTTTCTCTGAAGAGTAAAAACTTTTTTCATAGAGGGGGCATGACCCCATACTAAAATAGCATATGTTATGATGCTATATCCATATAGCCATGATAAACTATCAGCAAACTTGATCTCTTCGTTTGAGACTCCGGAGTAAATAAGTATGTTTTGATATCTTGGAGCAAACATAAATTAACACGTTGATCCCATGTCAGTTTAGGGTCAAGATGAATTCCCAAGAATTTTACATGTGCTGGATTATCCCAGTTTTCCATATTCCGAAGACTAAAAATCATAGTTTCGGTCTTGGAAGTATTCAAACTGAGTTGATTACTAGTAAACCAGTTTTCAACCGATGCATGTTGGTCATAAGTTGATGTCATTAACTGTTCAAAGTTTAAGTTGGTTCTAGTTATATTGGTATCATCATCAAAGAGTATACTTTTTGTATCATAAGGTATACAATTAGGAAAATCATTAGTATATATTAGAAACAGTAACGGACCCAATAAGGAACCTTGTGGAACTTCATGTTCAATATTCTTTGTGGGTGATTTCACATTATTATATACAACATACTGTAATCTATTAACTACTCAAACATGATCTCAATAAATCCGAACTGTACGATGAAAAACCATAATTATGTAGCTTATGTATAAGAATTTCGTGTGATACACAATCGAAAGCTTTTGTCAAATCTAAAAATTGACTAGCAACGTATTTCCCTTCTTCAAAATTATTGTTTATTATGGATGTTAGACAATCTGTGACTAGAGTGGTCGATAGATTACTTCGAAAACTGAATTGTTAAGGATTGAAAAGTTCCCTAGTCTCAAAATAATTAGTTATTTTTATTTTAAAGATAGTTTCATACATTTTACGTATACGATAGTTAATTAAATAAGTGCATGGTACTAATATGGGGTCAACTATTTTAAAATTTTTGTTGAAATATATACATCCAAACAAAGTTTGCTCTTAATTTTTGCTTTCGTTAAAAACTGTATTTAAGAAAGTTGTTCGAGAACTCAACAAATGCTTAAATACGGGAATTTGTCAAAACGAACTATAATCACATTTTGCAAATAATAAGACGCCTCAATTTTTAACTATATAACCATAGAATTACACACGGATATTTCCTTACCAAAGTCAAAGTCAACATGTTATCTTTATTAACTGCCCACCGAATTTATTTTTATTAATAATGCTAAGCCCGCAGCAACGATTTTATCTTGTCAAATGTTATGGAATCGATAATGTTTCATATCGACATGCAATACAAATTTTTAATGAAAAATATCCAAATGTAACTGTAACTCGTAGAGCAAGCTAATTATAAAATTCGATAACAGTGTTGATGTAAAGAATATTAAAAGGATAATAAAATAATACAATGATAACGATGCTGCCACTGTTGTAGTTATGGACTCTGTACAAGATAATCCAAAGATGTTACTCAGGAAAAGGTCAGAAAACATAACTGATGTCATATTCAAAGGATTTTAGTATATAACAAAATATATCCATTTTAGTTTAACACTAGGCGAGAAACTGAACAGATTCTTTCATCACAGTATTTTATTTACTGACGAATCAAGATTCATAACTAATGGCGTGGTTTCCTCTCAAAATTGTAGATACTGGCCTAAAGATAATCCAAATTTTCGATTGATAACTAATAGTCAAAAATTTAAAAATTTAAATGTCTGGTATGGCATAGTGTAATATAAAATAATTGGTTCCTACCGTTTGGAAGAAAATCTTAATCAAAATTCATATTTGGAAATTCTCAATAATTTCGTATTGGCAGAACTAGATAGCGAATACTGAAAGTTCACAAGAAAACTAATACGTTGGCCAGCATCGGCACCCGACTTTAGATTATCTCTTATGGGGATACCTGCAGCAGGCATTGATTTACTTAAGCAAAAATTTCAGGAAGCTGTTGCCACCATAAACGACGAAATGATCTTATCTGTGTATAAGGAATTTAGAAAGAGATTAGAAAAATGTGTATTACGTGGGGGTTTACAAGTTGCTTCATTGTTGTTAATTCCAGTTCTAATTTCAATTTTTTAATTAGAAAAGCTACTTTTATTTGATTTGCAGGCTACCGCGGCAGTTGTTAATGGTAGAACAATTGCCCGGCCGGTTGCCACGTCATCGCATTTTGAAATTTTTGGAGGCCCTGTATGTTTTATTACATATGTGATTACAGTCCATGGCTTCCCAAGATAAGCAAAACTATTTATCAAGGATAACTCGAAAAATTAACAATAAAAAAGTTTACAAGAGTGCGGTATCCCATCCTCGGACACACTGTATATATATATTCAATTCCGAAACAAGAGGAAGACGTAGACTTAACCTACCCACGCTCTAAAATAATTTTCCGCGTTTGTATATCTTTCATTTATCTAAAAAGTAAATACGAACCTGATGTAGCGGCGGCAGCTTCGGTTCCCGATTCGGTAACGTTAATAAAAGCCTTTTGAAGTACGTTGCTGACGTACAGTCCTTTATCCGTCGACGATAGTCCTGACAGATCCGCTTCATCCGAGAACAATTTGCTTATCCCCAACTGAAACAATATCGAAGAAGTTATTGTCTATAAGCTTGTTTGAGGACACTCACCTTTTGTAAGATAGGAACGAACTTGGTTTCCGATTCGATGGTAAATCTGGGCAATTCAACTTTAACTCTTTGAGGTGTGTAGGACTGAGGAACTAACAGTTGTTCGAGGTTTTGTTCCAGTTGACTTAATCCGTCTTTTTCGATGGGTAAAACTATAACCATGGCGATGTCAGAGCCTAAAAATTATACCATATTAGTTGAAGAATCGAGAAATGTGTCTGAAAAACTGCATGTATGTAGATACTACCTTGGTAGGGAAGCTCCAAAAATTTGGCGTTAAGAGTTTTGCTCTCGTGGTAGTTGAAGGTTTCAACCTGTAGCATGGTGTCTACTTCAACGGCGTTGTCCTTGGTTCTAAAGAAATTTCTTTTGGATGTCGCGTAGGAATCGAACGGATACAACCACACGCCGCTAAAATACAGGGCGTTAACTAAAACCATCCTAGTAGCTTCGTTGATGTCACCGGGCTTGATCAAATTTCTGATTTTATCGTTGGTGTTATCTTCCACCCACTTGTTGATCACACCCGCTGCGTGCGTACTTCTTTCAAAATCGACATTTTCTACTCCTACAAGGGAAAAGTTTAATTCATAAGGAACATACGTAAAAAATTAAAAGTACCCGAATCATAAATGGTGTTTGCGATGTACCCGAAATCCTCGGCGATTTTAAGTCCTTTCCCAACGTATATTTTATTGGCACTTAATAACTTCAGTTTCGTGTCGTATTTTTTCAAACTTGGCAAGAAGGATTGTAGGGCCCTTTGAGTCTTCTGCCTCGTAGTGGGAAGAGACAAGCCGCTTACTAGTTCCGAAGCCGTGAGACCTCGTGCCCCTTCATTTGTAAGAGCGAGAACGATTTCGGCAGACAATGGACTGACGACGAAATTGTCCTTTCCCGTTTGCAAAATCTCCTGTTGAAAAGAAACATGATTATATAGTTACATTTTTATTTCTAATTCGAAAGCCTTACTAAATTTTTCTTTCGATATTTCAAAAAGGGTGTATACTAAATATTTACCAAGAAATTCACTGATATTTCCATGTATCGGTTCCTATTTTTCAAAATTCACTACTTCCTAAATTTTTTAAGATATCTTCCACGTAAATATTTTACAAAATATGATTATTTAATAAATAAACCACAAAATTTACACTAAGTAGGGAACATTTTTGTTTATTTTAGAAAAACGTTTTTCTTCGAATCAGTTGCTTGTTTGAATATCAAATGAACAACTTATACAGTACAGGTCAAAACGTGAAATATACGAAAAAAGGCATTCTTGTTAAAAGTTTCTACTTGTTTTAGAAATACGAACCATCATAACGAACTTCAATTTTGTTGTACTATGTTGGTCAAAAACACAAAAATGTTATTTTGCGTAAGAGCATACCTTATTTTACAAGGTACGGAATAAAGGCACGACGAATAATTACGACAACAATTAAACTAAAAAAAAAAGTAAACAAAGCAATATGATGAAGATTACACTTGAATAAGACGTGTTTTAGTTTTGTATTTTGTTCCCTGTATAAAAAATTAAATTTTTGATAACGTCACATTTTTCAAGCAAAATCTTTTATCAAGAATTCCTTTTTTTCGTATCTTGCAAATTAAGGTATGTTTACTCTTACGCAAAATAACATTTTTGTGTTTCTTACATACCCTGTACAACAAAATTAAAGTTCGTTATGGTGATTCGTTTTTTTTTAAACAAGTAAGAAGTTTTATCAAAATGCCTTTTTTCGTATTTTTCCTTTTTGGTCCATTTGTTCTCTGTAAACTCAATCCGCGGACATACTGTATATGTAGCATCTTCCGTTTAGGAGATAATGACAATATTTTAATGTTAAAAATTAAAAAAGAATACGTGTTACAAAAAATTTTATTTAACTAAATTCTAATTATGTTAATAATATTCTATATTTATATTTAATCGTTTAATAATATTGATAAAATTATACAGGGTCGAAAAATAAGAAGTGGATCTTACTTGTGGAAGGGCGAAATAGGCGGTGACTATTAGACGCTTTCATTATAGCCATCTTTCTCTATCGCACGGATTTCTATGACTTTCTTTATCGCTCTCACGTAACGGCCGATAAACCATGAGGACTTTCCGACCCTGTATGTACTTTAATTTAAATATACTTATGTCAAGAAGTCAAATTAAAAATAAAAGCTCCACCATTAAAAGAAATAAAATCGATTTTTTTATTGATTTTATTGTGATATGACAATTTTTATTTATTCATAAATCAAAGCTATTGGAATTTGGCCAAAAAATTCATATATTTTTTGAAACATGTTAATCTTATTTTTAATTTTGTCTAATTAAAATAACGCCATTTACTTCTTAATTTAAAATTCACCTCTATGTAGTGCAAAATTTGATATTTAGCAACATTCCACTGAAAAAACTTTTAGTTTGAATGTTATTACAAAATAAAAAATAAAATTATTATTTTCAAAGTTTAGCTGCAACTTCATTTTCCGACGGAAATGAAAAGATTTAGAACCACTCTAATGTAATGTTGTGTCCTCTTCAATGATGTAGTTAGTTTCTTCTTTAACCAACATTTCCCAGAAAATAACTACATTTTTTCAAATGGATGCCAAATTTTTTTAATTTAGAATTTTTTAATTATTATTCTAATATCAAATGAATTGCAAAATATTTAAATAAAGGTTCGATAATTTTTTAAATTGAACTACACATAAGAAGGTTGCAGCTTATTTTTAAAGAGACAATGTCAATTTTTTCTGAATAGAATCCAAATTGATTGGAATTGAATATTTTTTTTAGTGGTATGTCCATAACTATTAAAATCTGCAGCACGTTATCATTTTCTGTATATCTAATAGTTGTAAAGATTCCTGCTGTGCAGTGTTAATTAATTATAGTCGAGTGAATATTAAAATAACGGAAATGGGATATTAATGTCATAAATTAATTCTTAACGAGTCATCCAATTCGACACAGGTGGTTCAGATAGATACCATAAAATTAATTGTAGCAGTGAATTTACGTGACATCCAATAGCAGCATCTTGTAACTAAAGAACAATTCCGAGTGAAATTTGAAAAATTTCCATAAAAATTTGATATTTCCTTAACATTTTCAGATCTATAAAGTTCTCTGATAATTTCAGGTTTTCCACATTGGTAGGTATACACCCTAGATAAAACTAATTTCACCTTAATTGATCATTTAGGTACTAGTATACAGGGTGTTTCAAAACATTTGGCAGAAAATGAAGGGTGTGATTCTTTGGATCATTCTAAGAAAAAAAGTTCTTATTAATATCCGCACCGTTTTCGTGGTATTAAAAAAATATATTTTTTTCAGTTACTTGATGATGAAACGTTTGAGATACAAAACTCAAATTTTGTACATCATTAATATTAGCTACTTTTGAGCGCTAATTAATTTTTTTTTCATATGACAATGGCGGAGATTTTAGATTGCGTGATTTTAAACCAGCAATGTTTTCCATACAAAAACGGTACCCCTCATCAAAAGTTCTAACGCGAACCGTTTTCAAGATAAATGGCGTTCTATGATTGAAACCATGAAAGAAAGTGGCAACATGTTAAAAAATATATTTCAAACTCCGCCACTGTCATGTGAATAAATATTGAATTAGAGCTCAAAAGTAGCTAATATTAATGATAATACGCATACAAAATTTAAGATCTGATTTTTTAATATGAACATTTTTTCTTACAATGTTCCAAAGAATCACACCCTTCATTTAATGACATATATTATGAAACACACTGTATATTATCTGTTGGAAGTTGGATATAATTGCAGAAACTATTAATTTAATTTTAATTAATTTGATTATGATTTGTCGTTTTAATAGAATGCTCCTGTATTTCAAGCCTAAAATTCCAAAACGACTTTCAATTTTTGAAGCGGTTAAATTTAAGAGTACCTGCGTTGATTCTCTGCCATGTATACATACAAATATATACGCTGAATTATTTCAGAGGCATACGAAACCGGTCAGGTTACTGGACTCAATTGCGTCATAGTATACGAGTTATTTTTGTGAATAAATATTGAACACGGTCTTTTGGAATAAGTGGAATACAAAGCGGCCATGCGAAAATTTCCTGACTCACTATAACCCACGATATTGCTCGAGATATGAGAAAAATTATGTTTTAATAAAGGATATAGGAATTCTTTTAATTTTCTAGTACCTATGTTGCACAAGTCATTATACAGAGTGGCCACATGAAAACGAAACAGAGCCATTTTCAGGAACTACGTCAAGATTGTAGAAAAACGCTCAGACCCGTCGATTTTAGATTAAAGGGGGACATTCTTTGCTGGTATTTTTGACTCCGCCACTTTCACCCCCAAGCAAGGGTAAGCATCACCCCAAAATATTTAAATGGCATTGGGGGTTGAGTAATATTTCTTTTGGAAGCTCTTACAATTCTCTTTACAACAGACTTTAAATTTTATAATTCCGCCCAATACTTATTAAGAATTTTGGTTTTAAAATAATGTACAAACAATTAGTAACGGTAAAAATATCAGTCATTCGAGTTAAGTACGCTAATGGTATAAATTTAGTATTTCTTGCGTTACATTGGTTTTTGACGATTTGTTATCACTTTCCTAAAAAAACACAATTGTAAAAAACAGAAATGAATGCTATACTTACACACAATAAACGTAAAATTAGTGGATTCCAAATTATTTTCTAGTATTATTTGGAAGCGTTGGTTGGTAGTTTATTTAATTGTGTTTTTGAAAATTAAACACTATGGTTTATTCCATTACGGAAAGGGTAGATATCATTTCGCTTTACTTTATGAACAATAAATGTGCGAATAGAACAGCTCAGCTATTTAATGAACAACATCAAGATCGACATGTCAGGAGGAAGTATGTCTAGAGTTAGTAAAAAAATTTCAAGAGACAGGGAACGTGGCCAATAAAAAACGAGAAATTGAAAAACCTATAATTAATGAAGCCAGTGGAGTTGCAGTTTTGGGACAAGTTCATCTTGATCTTACAATAAGTATGAGGCAGCTGGCATCTGTGTCTGGGCTCAATCGAACTAGCATACAAACCATTTTGAAGATCAAATTCCATTCATACAGAATACATTTAGTCCAGGAACTTCATGAGGATAATTATGACCGCCGTTTGCAATTTTGCGAAGTAATGAGTGAGCGAGCAGGGAACGATCCACAGTTCCTTTTTAACATCTGTTTTTCGGATGAATGTAGTTTTTTCTTGAACGGGACGGTAAATCGTCACAATTGCCGCTATTGGTCCGATTCAAACCCAAGAGTTTTTCACGAGGTGCATACACAGCAACCAGAAAAATTAAATGTATGGGCTGGAACTTTCGATGACCGGCTGGTGGGTCCTTTTTTTCTACCTGGTAATTTGACTGGCCAAATGTACTTGCAATTACTGGAAGACGCTATTGACTCTGCCTTGACTGATATTATTGAAAATGTTCCAGATGATGATCATTTGATTTTTCAACAGGACGGTGCTCCTCCGCATTATGCATTAATTGTCCGTCAGTATTTGAACTAACGTTTTCTACGGAATTGGATTGGGAGAAGAGGCAGCATTGAGTGGCCTCCACGATCGCCGGATTTATCGCCCCTTGATTTCTTTTTGTGGGGATACCTAAAAAGTAAAATCTATAAAACACAACCAGCGTTGCTTGAAGATTTGCGTCAAAGAATCGTCGACGAATGCCGTCGAATCACTCCAGAAATGCTTCGGAATGTGCGCGAACGTTTCGAACAAAATCTTTATTCTTGTATGGAAGCGGGCGGTCATCAGTTTGAACATTTAATCAACTAAGTAGTAAGTAAGCAACTAAACATAATTTAAATTTTAAAATGTAAATTTTGTTTAAAGTATCGAGC